TTCTTTGTATTCTGTCTTATGGTACATACTTGTAGTCATCAATATAAATCTTTTAGTCAGAGTTCTCCTTGCATTTTTTCTATCCTGTTCTTTGGTGTTTATCTAGATCGAGTGTGTGCGTTGTTGTGCAATCCTAACAACTGGTATTAGAGCTAGGCGGAAATCACCACGATCTGTGAAGATGGAAAGTTCAAAGATTGGAATTGAGAAGTTCAATGGATTCGACTTCAGTTTCTTGAAAATGCAGATCGAAGATTATCTGTATCAGAAAGGTCTTCACAAACCCTTGTTGGGGGTGATGCCGGATACCATAACCACGGAGCAGTGGAAGCTCAAGGATCAACAAGCCTTAGGGCTGATCCGGTTGACGCTATCCAGAAACGTGGCGTTCAATATCATCAAGGAGAAGACAACGTCAGATCTGTGGAAGGCGCTGTTAAATATGTACGAAAAACCGTTGGCTATGAACAAGGTGTATTTGATGCAGAGATTGTTCAATCTACAGATGTCTGAAGATGGATCTGTTGTTGATCATATAAATGAATTCAATATGATCATAAGTCAACTGAGTTCGATGGAAATTAATTTCGAGGATGAAATTAAAGCATTGATTTTGATGTCATCTTTACCCGAGTTGTGGGATACTGTTGTTGCCGCAATCAGCAGTTCGCGAGGATCTGATGAACTGAAGTTTGATGAAATTCGAGATGTAGTTTTCAGCGAAAGTATTCGCAAACGAGAAATTGGAAATTCATCTGGTAGTGCTCTCAGTGTTGACCAACGGGGAAGAAGTAAACCGAAGGGCCCAAACAAAGGACGATCAAAATCAAAGAATCGAAAAAAATCTCCAAATAGACCAAACGTAACATGTTGGAATTGTCGAGAAAAAATGTCACTTTCGAACAGGTTGTACAAGACCAAAGAGAAAGCAGAATCACAAATCTAGAGATGATGATGATTCTATAAATTCAGTAGAAGACATTGGGGATGCTCTAATCCTCAGCGTGGATAGTTCGATTGAATCCTCGATTTTGGATTCAGGTGCATCTTTTCATTCGTCTCCAAATAAGGAGTTGTTCCGGAATTTCAAGTCTGGAAATTTCGAGAAGGTGTATCTTGCCGACAACAAAGATTTGGAGATTAAAGAAAAAAGAGATGTCTGCATAAAAACTCTGGCAGGAAATCAGTAGACATTAAAGAATGTCAGATATATTCCTGGTCTAAAAAAGAACCTGATCTCTATTGGTCAGTTGGACATCACAGGTTATGCAACAAAGTTAGGGACGAGTTCGTGGAAGATTATGAAGGGTGCTACGGTGGTAGCACGTGGCTCAAAATCTGAAACCTTATACACCACTGCAGGGTGTATGAACATAGCTGCTGTTGCTGAGAGTGCTTCAAATTCAAGTCTATGACACAATAGACTTGGACATATGAGCGTGAAAGGAATGAAGACGCTGGCTGCGAAAGGAGTTTTAGAAGGTCTGAAATCTGTTGATGTGGGTCATTGTGAGAACTACGTTATGAGCAAGCAGAAACGAGTTAGCTTCACAAGGACCGCCAGAGAATTGAAGAAAGTGCGGTTGGAAATGGAACGATATGTGGAGCAAGGTTTGACGAAGCAAGTGGGAGTTGAGCTTGAGTTGCAGGAATACTCACCTAGAGATGTTGTAGCAGATACTCATGAAACTCCTGAGACTACTGCTGAGGAACCAGATGTGGAGCATGGTTCGAAGACAACGAAGCAAGTGGGAGTTGAGCATAAGTTGCAGGAAAACTCACTTGGTGATGTTGTAGCAGATACTCATGAAACTCTTTAGACGACTGCTGAGGAACCAGATGTGGAGCATAGTTTCAAGACCATAAAGCAAGTGGGAGTTGAACTTGAGTTGCAAGAAAACTCACCTAGTGATGTTGCAAATACTCATGAAACTCCTGAGACTACTGTTGAGGAACCAGATGTGGAGCATGGTTCCAAGACAACGAAACAAGTGGGAGTTGAGCATAAGTTGCAGGAAAACTCACTTAGTGATGTTGTAGCAGATACTCATGAAACTCTTGAGACTACTGCTGAGGAACCAGATGTGGAGCATAGTTCCAAGACCACGAAGCAAGTGGGAGTTGAGCTTGAGTTGCAAGAAAACTCACCTAGTGATGTTGTAGTAGATATTCATGAAACTTCTAAGACTACTGTAGAGGAATCAGCAGTGGAGTAAGTGACACTTGAACTGGTGTTGAGAAGATCATCCAGTACTATCAGAGTACCAGATATGTATGTATCTTCATTACACTATCTGTTCCTGATGAAAAGGAACTACAACTCTTTGAGGAGGCCCTACAGTTGGAGGATACAACCAAGTGGGAGCAAGCCATGGATTATGGGACGTCTAGGCTTCAAAAATGCGTTGTACTGAGGCTGAGTACGTGGCAATAGCTGAAGCTGGAAAGAAGATGATATGGATGACTGACTATCTGGAAGAATTGGGCAAGAAGCAGCATGAAAAGATTCTTTATAGAGATAGTCAGAGTGTCATACAGTTGGTGAGGAACCCGGTTTATCATTTAAAGATAAAACACAGAAGGCGATACCATTTCACTTGCAGGTTAGTGGAAGATGGTGATGTGTTTTGAGAAGATAGAGAGTGCAAAGAATCCAACAAACATGTTGACAAAATGTGTTGATGTTGGAATATTGAGGTTGTACAAAACCTCAATTGGTATGGTGCAATGAAGATATTTCTGATCGTTTGAGAATGAAATTCTTAGTTGACTGGATCAGTCAAGTGTGAAAATTGTTAGGCTATCGACCTGTTTATTTATAGCTGAGTCAACTGTTTTACGTGGTAAAATATATTTGGTAAATGGCATATATAAAGTAAATTATCATAAATAATAAATAGTGCATGACACTATGGGGTTCCGCTGACCAGGGGGTGTGCGAGCGCCCTGGGGATTCACACTCGCACGTGTAAGTCGTGTGTAGGGAAGTACTACACACTCAATTTGTCCAAGACTGGAGACCACCCTTCAGATGATTAGAGATAGGTCTCTAATTCATGATTGCATGTGTCGTGTGCCATATTGTTTTTTTTTTTTCAGGTAAAGGCAAGGCTCCCATGTACGATTGACGATGGCATCATGCTCAGAGGCGCGTGCATAGGATAGTTGCATATTTAAAATTCCTAAACTTGGTTAGGAGAGGGCGCTTGTATTTCATTTATTTAAATTATTTAATTTGTAATTGTTTTTTTTTTAATCTTATTTTGAACTCCAGGATTATGTTTGAAACATGTAAGTCCGGTAGTGTTTTCTAATGTTTTAACGTATTCTGAAGTTTTAAATTTTTCCGCTAGTAAAGATGAGTATTCTTAGAGTTATATTCTGCATTAAAGATGAGCATGAGACGTTAGTAGCGACTCTAGATATGCGAAAATTTAGTGTTGTTACATAAACATAAAGTGTCGAATCTAGAGGCGTGATGCATTGTGATTTTTTAATCAATTGACTAAAAAAATATCAATCATAGGAAAAAAACTAAAAATTATTCAAAATTGGGCTAAATGTATATGGATGCAGTACCTTTTTTTTTTTTTATGTGCCATTTTATGTAAATCTCCATGTTTTTTTTTTGTTTTTTTTAGTTTTTTTTAATTTTTTTTTAAAATAGAAATCGTATTAGTTTATATAAGTTAAAAGTAAACTAAAATATATATATATATATATATATATATATATATATATATATATATATATATATATATAT